ATATATATATATATATATATATATGCCATTTTTCTTTTTCATTAATCTGAGGGCTATACCAGTTTAGATAACCACCACATTATCAGATGCTGGTTGAAAAGAAATCATTGATACACTAAATGAAGGGTTATGTTTTGGTTTAGAATTTCTCTTTTTACAGAAGTGAGGTTTTGACTAATGCAAATGGTATTTAAAATCATCTATATGATGCTAAACAGTCTCCCATGCAGCAAAATGAAGATATATAGTTTCTTGAATTTATAATGTCATAAAAATATCCACTTATGGTTTGAGTATATTATATGTCTATAAACTTCCTTTGTACTATCCCAGTAGGAGATTTTTAAGTACCTGATAAAATAAACACATTCTAAACAAATGACTTAAACATTCAGCCTTCAGATATAAAATATTATTTTTCTACTGGAGTAAAACAATGAATTCTAAACCCTAGAAAAACTTACATTGTGTTTGTATATTTAAAACATTCTAGCCTTGAAGTATAGTGATTGAGTTGACCTATCCTATCACTTGTTTTCCCCCTAATTATAATCTGATGGTTAGTTGTCATTTACCTTCTTTACAAGAAAGGGAGCCATTTTTTATGATTTCCAGCCTGTTTGCTATTTACCAGTTTCTTATAAATCTCTGACTTTAGAAATCGAGGAAAAGAATCCTTGGCCATCAGACTGTAGATCACCTGCTGAGCCTCATCAAAACATTTGAGAGTTGGTTCTGCAATATTCTTTGAGATGAGGTCCCTGGTACTGAAGTCAATGTTAATCTGTGGAAACAAATTTCATTGCGTTAGTTTAATCAAAGAACGCGTGGTTTAAACAGATGGTAGATACACATATGATTTGAATTTTTTTTCTAAACACAAAGTTAATCTGATCTAATCTAATCTAAACAACAGAGAGGTCACATATTCATTTTCTGGAATTCAGAACACATGTTCAGTTTAATTACATTTCCTAGGTTGAGAGTGTTGGCATTGACCGAGAAGAGGTCAAGCCTTATTTTGAGATTACAAAAAATGGCAAAGTGAAAGGCAAACAAAAAATTTTATGATTTTAGATTTCTTTTCCCTCCCATCCTTGATTTCTTTCTAGTACTTTGACCTTAATATGTAAAATGTACTTTTCATAGGCAGAGCAATAATTAGAATTTACTAGGTTGGTTTTCACCAATCCATTCCCATTCTCCATACCTCCCCGTGTTGTTTCCCATAATGCTGCTTTTCATCCTAATTTGTATTTCTTTTTGTTTGCCAAAATGGACCAAATAACACCCCCTTTCACCGACCACCATGCCTCCCATGGAATATACATATATACGTATGTGTGTGTGTATGTATATTCTTGTCCCTTGAGCACTACCATATGTAACTATTCTTAGCAAGGTGTAATAGAGATCTATTATATTGAACACACCATTCACCTGCAAATCTGTAAAATGCCCCAAACCTTGTGGAGATACTTGTCCAATTCTACCCATATTCCAGGATATATTTTGAGAAGCAGAAAATTTCACATCCAAGCTGTTTTACTTAAACTGAAAATATTCATGAAGCGTGAAAGAGATTTGAATCTTAAAATTCAAAGCTCACCAAAGGCGGGTGCTATATCTGTCTTATTTATCATTTTATTTCTTGGCACTTAGCCAATTATCTGCCACATAATAGGCAGTCAGTAAATATTTGTTGAATAGAATTATAATGTCTCTTGGTAAAATGTGGGAGACTATAAGAATGCCAGAATTTGGGGGTCTGGTAAAAGACTATAAATAACAATTTATGTTTATTGAATTGAAGTTAAAAGATAGGCAGGTAGACCTTCAATCAAATCTCTCCTCTGCTACTTACTTGCTATTCATATGAGTAAAGCAAGTTCTACAGTTTCCTTCAATTTTTGATTTCTATGGTATAAGAGAGGATAATAATAACATCTGTCTTAGAGTGTTTTAAGGACTAAATGAGATAAGTAATATCAAACTATTTCAGTATTATTATTGTAGGAAAAGAACAAAAGAAAAAAACTTTATTTTGAAAAGAATCATCAAAGGCCACTATTTGCTCACTGATATTTTCTTTCTTTAGCGATTTCAGCTACTCAGGGATCCAGATTACATCTGCTTTGTATTTCTTTGATCATCCTTTCAGGTCCTCCGTCAAAGTTCCAGATGAAATGCTGCAACTTCCTCGAAGGAATCAATTTCTGCTTCTTTATACAGGAAGATGGTGTGGCGTACTGGTAAGATTTTAGAATAGTTTTCCAATCTGTGCTCTAACACTTATGATGTTGCTGACCTGGGGTGAGTTACTTTCATATTTTCAAGCTCTGCTTTTTTATCTTGAAGCTTGGCCATTCTTGACTGAGTGATTGCAAGAATTAAAGTGAGATGATCCATAAAATCATTGATTCCACAAATATTTTGGGGTATGTTATGTGCCAGGTGCTTTCTATATTTGGGGAAAATACTATATACTTTCTATGTAGTCTTAGTATTGTACTATAAATAGTACTATTTTATATTTATACCTGAACGATGAGAAGAAGCAGGTTCTCTAAGAATCTGGGGAAGACCATTTCTGGCAGAATAAACAAATGCAGAACCCCTGAGGCAAGAAAGAATTGTTTGTGTTTGAAGAGCCTCGTACCTGCATGGCAGGGGTGCAGGGTGTGAGAAAAAAGTTCCTGTGACCAGGTTGGGAGAGGAGGTCGAGGCCAAGTCTTGGGGGGCTTTTGTGCTTTGGTAAGGGGTTCTTATCTTTCTACTAGAAGCAATGGGAAGACATTGAAGTGTTCTGAGCAGGGAGGTGGCATGATAACATGTCATGAATCTAGTATAGTGCCTGCCTCGTGGACGGAATCAATGAGTAGTGGGTATTACCAAGATCTTGTAGTGGTTTCTGAACATCTAGTATAATCTGTTTCATAAAACTTATCTTGTGTTGTGGGGATATGAGAATATATGTTGCCCATTTCCTCCTTCAACTATGCTGTTCGTTCTTTAATGGTGTCGTCTGCAATTTGTTGAACTTTATATCCCCCATAAAGGTAAATACCGCAAGTTAACTCCTTTAGGCCTTCAGTCATTGGGTGAGTTTCCACTGATAGCAGGGCCAGTGTGTACCTGGTGCAGAGTGCTGCCTTATTATTTTAATCAGAACTGAACACCTTCAGTATCTCCTCATTCCCTACTTAAAAAACCCAAAGCCCCGATCTTGGCATTCATGACCTATACAATATGGTCCAAACCTATACATTTTTTTCCTCTCCGTGTGCCCTGTATCCCCACTAAGGTAGACACTGCCCCTCAAATTTCTTATATTTTGTTACAGATGAATATTTTCCCATACCATCCCAGTCTAGCTGAAAATCACTCCTTCTCGCCTAAGTCTTTCACAACCTTTTATGTCCTTAAGACTACATTCAAATAGCATCTACCTTGTGAGGTTTACTTGTAGATTTTTTCCCCTTTTCTGACCTCTGAAAGGGGTTTGGGTTACTTAGATAAGATTGACATTTTGCCTGCCCCTTACTATGCCTTGCACAGTGTAAGGATTCAATAAATAAATGCATGTTGTACAAAGTGGAAAAAAGCTCTACATTTGTTAAAAATCATGGTAAAATTTTAAGCAGAACTATTCCATTTCAATATGATACTGATAATTACTATTATTTGTTCAGATATACTAAGCTTGTACTTCTGACTTATCCCTCTCACTTTTCTGATTTGCCTTTTTTCCTACTAAGAAGCTGCCAACATCAGCTCTTGATAGCTAAGTGATGAGCAGAGACACCATTCCCAGGGGATAATCAGTAGTCTTTTGAAGCTGCATCTTGGCAATTCAGTTTAATGTCAGTGACAAAATATCACACCCACGTGTTTGTATAAATGTCATTATTTTCCTCCAAATTGTTCAAGCTGGAAACATAAGAATCATCTCTGCCACCTCTTTTACCCTCTGGTCTCTCTCCCTCGCTCTCTCTTTCTCTTTCTCTTTCTCTCTCTCTCTCCCTGTGTGTGTGTGTGTGTGTGTGTGTGTGTGTGTGTGTGTGTGTGTGTGTGTATGTGTATGTGTTTTCCTTATTCACCTTTTATTTTGTAATTTCACAATGCTGTTTTTCATTCTCACTCCTATCTCTCCAGTTTAACCTTTTATAACGTAATCTCTTCCCTGAACCGTGGAATCTACCTCTTACCTGATACCTCCCCTTCTACACACTGTGGACAGCATTACTATATCAATTTCACCAAAATATCACTTTCATTGTATGAATGTTCAGCTGACAAGGCATTACTTTCTATAGCATAAAATTTAAACATTTTACCCTGGCATCTGAGCTTCCTCCTACCTGGACTTCAAAGTGTTGTTTTGAAATCATCTCCTACTTATCTTTGGTGACATCCACAAAGTTGGTCTACGTTCTGTTCCAAAAGTGAATTTTGTATCTAAAGCCCTCGTTTATGCTGTTTCACCATCTAAAATCCCTCTTGCCTCCACAGTTTTATTCTGTACGGATTATCCTGAATCCCTTAGGATTCAGCTTAAGTTGAATATCCTCCAAGAAGCCTTCCCTGATCACAGACGGAAAGTCACTGTAATTTCCTTATCATCATACATTATTTTGATGTAAAAATCTTAAGAAATTTGATTTCTTGCTTAAACAGATTTGGATACAATGGCTTCTATTAATGTTAAGTATTCAATCTGATAATCAGAGAGAGAAGATTTGTCACTACAAAGGGAATTCAGTAGCCTGTGGCATGGAATTTACCTGTCTTTTATCTGCTATCTTTTCCCTATTTTTTTCATTAATTCTTTTTTCTCTGCATGTCCCTCAAAGTATGAGCAGAGCAGATATGCGTTATCTAAGTTCTGGGCCAAGTCTTCTCTTCCTGGGTTTTCTTCCTTGGTGACTGTGTCTTCTCCCATTTTCAAATATTTAAGCAATGTCATTATCTCTAAAATAACCCTAAGAATGTTTAAAGATGATTGCTTTAACTGTAAATAATAATAGTTAACATTCATCAGATATTACTGCTGTTGTGCTGAGTCTCTATATGGCTACTTTACACACACTTGTGAGATGGATAGTATTATCATCCCTATTTTTCTGGGGAAAAAAACCCACCTCATCTGAAAAAGTAGTTGTTTCTTGCTAGTCATTTCTGTAATTTATTCATTTAAAGTATTTCACTGAATGGGTGCTTAGGAATTACGCTAAGATCTGACTATATAAAGATGATTATGTTGAAAGTCAGACAAGAAGACAGATTTTGAGAAAGTAATCCAAAGGGAAAAATATACCTTCTGAAAAAAAAGCTTTTTGAAAGAAATGAGATTGTAAGCTGAGAATCAAGGTATTATTATGGGTATATAAGTTTAAGGAAGGGACTTGGACATGGGAGGGAAAACTGGAAGAAGCCCAGTGGGTTTTCAGGAGGAAAAGGGCAACAGTCTGGAAAGGCATGAAGGTCCAGACCACATAGACTTCTGTAGGTCTCGTTAAATAATTTTTAATTAACCTGAGAGCAATGAGGAGAATTTTAAGTACAGTACTGATAATAAACACATGTTTGAAAAAACATATCACTGGCTGCTATGTGGTATAACAACTAGGTGTGGATAAAGGGAAGAAAAGTTAGGAAGTCATACCAGAAATTCAGGTGGTCAATCATGGTGGATTAGGCTGGGTCATGTCACAGAGAATGAAGGGAAATGCATAGATTTCAAAGATATTTAGAAAGTAGAATAGATGGAACTTGTGATTGAAT